GCAGCGTGAACCAGGATGCTGGTGCGATGATCCGGGACGGCATCAAGACGATGTCCAAGGTCGGCGTTTGCCCGGAGAGCATTTGGAAGTATGATGACCAGCATGACTTCTTCAAGCAACAGCCCAGCGACAAGGCCTACGAGCTGGCACAGAAATGCAGGGTCATGGGCTACGCCCGTGTTGCGCAGGACCTGAGCCAGTTCAAGGCATGCCTGAAGAATGGCTACCCCTTCGTCTTCGGGTTTGCCGTGCTGTCTAGCTTCCAGACCGCAGAGGTTGCCAGGACCGGCAAGATGGTGATGCCCCAGCCGACCGACCAACAGCTAGGAGGCCACGCCGTTACGGCCGTGGGCTACGACGACTTCCAGCAGTGCTTCATCGTCCGCAACTCCTGGGGTGAAGGGTGGGGCGACAAGGGCTACTTCTACATGCCATACGAGTACATGTGCCATCCCGCCCTTGCCTCCGACTTCTGGGCCATCAACTGGGTGGAGGGCTTCAAGAACACTAGCAGCCTCTCCGAGAGTGGCAAATTGCAGATCGGGGGTGCGCCCAGGCATCCCAATGTTGTGTCCCTCAACATGCGCACGAACATGAAGTTCGGCTGGCGACCAGACATGCCGGACCACCGCGACCAAACCGTGACCTTCAACAAGGTCGAAGCGCCCAGCCACATCAAGAAGAAGGTCGAGGGAGCAAAAGAGCTCATTGACCTGCGACCCATGAACGGTGGCTTCCCTATCTTTGATCAGGGGCATCTCGGCAGCTGCACAGCGAACGCTTTGGCGGCAGCCTTCCACTTCACCCTCCACAAGATGACGGTGGAGAACCACAAGGACTTCGCCGACTTCACCCCTAGCCGGTTGTTCATCTACTACAACGAACGCCTTGTGGAGGGCAGCGTGAACCAGGATGCTGGGGCGATGATCCGGGACGGCATCAAGACGATGGCCAAGGTCGGCGTTTGCCCGGAGAGCATTTGGAAGTATGATGACCAGCATGACTTCTTCAAGCAGCAGCCCAGCGACAAGGCCTACGAGCTGGCGCAGAAGTGCAAAGTCGTCGGTTATGCCCGCGTTGCTCAGGACCTGAGCCAGTTCAAGATGTGCATCAAGAACGGCTACCCCTTCGTCTTCGGGTTTGCCGTCCTGACAAGCTTCCAGACAGCGGAGGTTGCCAGGACCGGCAAGATGGTGATGCCCCAGCCGACCGACCAACAGCTAGGAGGCCATGCCGTGACTGCCGTGGGCTACGACGACTTCAAGCAGTGCTTCATCGTCCGCAACTCTTGGGGTGAAGGGTGGGGCGACAAGGGCTACTTCTACATGCCTTACGAGTACATGTGCCATCCCGCCCTTGCCTCCGACTTCTGGGCCATCAACTGGGTGGAGGGCTTCAAGAACACGACCACCCAGAACCCGGCCAAGAAGTGATGGATTTACAACGATCCTTTGTATAGTCAGGTTCCTTTGCAGCCGGCTATCCCCGGAGGGGTGGCCGACTGGATAGGACACGTGCCTGCAACTGGCAGGGTTTTGAAATCAATCAGTCTTCTGTACTGTACAGTCTACAAATCTCCACTCAGGTTGAACCTCCATTTGCGACACATGCTTGGTGCAAAAACAAGCAACACCTTGAGGCCCGGGACTTGCTTAGCTACTGTTTCGTCAAAGTTACCTTTTCGACTGCAATTACTTTGGGTCTCCGAGCAAGCGCACTGCCTCGAAAGTCGGATGAACCGCTGACTGTCACCACATGTGAGGGATGCGTTAAAGACTTGATTAGTTCTAGTATTTTTGAGACCAGCCGCTGAAGCACACGCTGTATTCAGCTATATGCTCACCTTGATGACTGTCCTAGTTACCCTAATCCGTGAAACCCTCAGCAACAAAAAAGGCTTAAGAGCCCTAGGCCCGAGAGCTCTGAAGCCCGAAACTTCTGCGTCCTAAGCCTGTTCCTGGTTCAACCAGTGCCGATTTGCACCCTCTCGCCATCGTTTTTTGCATTGGAACAATGGGCAACTGCAGTTCTACCGGTGTCTCCTCGGATGCTACCGAGCTTCAGGTGGCAGCCTCTGCGAGGCATCCAAGCCTTTCCGGACTCCCCATGCGAACGAACATGAAGTTCGGCTGGCGACCAGACATGCCAGACCACCGCGACCTCCGTGTGACCTTCGACAAGGTCGATGCACCAAGCCACATCACCAAGAAGTCTGAAGGAGACAAGGAGATCATTGATCTGCGACCAATGAACGGCGGCTTCCCCATCTTTGATCAGGGGCATCTCGGCAGCTGCACAGCGAACGCTTTGGCGGCAGCCTTCCACTTCACCCTCCACAAGATGACGGTGGAGAACCACAAGGACTTCGCCGACTTCACCCCTAGCCGGTTGTTCATCTACTACAACGAACGCCTTGTGGAGGGCAGCGTGAACCAGGATGCTGGTGCGATGATCCGGGACGGCATCAAGACGATGTCCAAGGTCGGCGTTTGCCCGGAGAGCATTTGGAAGTATGATGACCAGCATGACTTCTTCAAGCAGCAGCCCAGCGACAAGGCCTACGAGTTGGCGCAGAAATGCAGGGTCATGGGCTACGCCCGCGTTGCTCAGGACCTGAGCCAGTTCAAGGCATGCCTGAAGAATGGCTACCCGTTTGTCTTCGGGTTTGCCGTGCTGTCTAGCTTCCAGACCGCAGAGGTTGCCAGGACCGGCAAGATGGTGATGCCCCAGCCGACCGACCAACAGCTAGGAGGCCATGCAGTTACGGCCGTGGGCTACGACGACTTCCAGCAGTGCTTCATCGTCCGCAACTCCTGGGGTGAAGGGTGGGGCGACAAGGGCTACTTCTACATGCCTTACGAGTACATGTGCCATCCCGCCCTTGCCTCCGACTTCTGGGCCATCAACTGGGTGGAGGGCTTCAAGAACACTAGCAGCCTCTCTGAGAGTGGCAAATTGCAGATCGGGGGTGCACCCAGGCATCCCAATGTTGTGTCCCTCAACATGCGCACGAACATGAAGTTCGGCTGGCGACCAGACATGCCGGACCACCGCGACCAAACCGTGACCTTCAACAAGGTCGAAGCGCCCAGCCACATCAAGAAGAAGGTCGAGGGAGCAAAAGAGCTCATTGACCTGCGACCCATGAACGGTGGCTTCCCTATCTTTGATCAGGGGCATCTCGGCAGCTGCACAGCGAACGCTTTGGCGGCAGCCTTCCACTTCACCCTCCACAAGATGACGGTGGAGAACCACAAGGACTTCGCCGACTTCACCCCTAGCCGGTTGTTCATCTACTACAACGAACGCCTTGTGGAGGGCAGCGTGAACCAGGATGCTGGGGCGATGATCCGGGACGGCATCAAGACGATGGCCAAGGTCGGCGTTTGCCCGGAGAGCATTTGGAAGTATGATGACCAGCATGACTTCTTCAAGCAGCAGCCCAGCGACAAGGCCTACGAGCTGGCGCAGAAGTGCAAAGTCGTCGGTTATGCCCGCGTTGCTCAGGACCTGAGCCAGTTCAAGATGTGCATCAAGAACGGCTACCCCTTCGTCTTCGGGTTTGCCGTCCTGACAAGCTTCCAGACAGCGGAGGTTGCCAGGACCGGCAAGATGGTGATGCCCCAGCCGACCGACCAACAGCTAGGAGGCCATGCCGTGACTGCCGTGGGCTACGACGACTTCAAGCAGTGCTTCATCGTCCGCAACTCTTGGGGTGAAGGGTGGGGCGACAAGGGCTACTTCTACATGCCATACGAGTACATTTGCCACCCCTCGCTTGCCCATGACTTCTGGGCTATCAACTGGGTGGAGGGCTTCAAGAACACGACCACCCAGAACCCGGCCAAGAAGTGATGGATTTACAACGATCCTTTGTATAGCCAGGTTCCTTTGCAGTCGGCTATCCCCGGAGGGGTGGCTGACTGGATAGGACACGTGCCTGCAACTGGCAGGGGTTTTGAAATCATATTGTATAGCCTACAAATCTCCACTCAGGTTGAACCTCCATGAACCTCCATTTGCGACACATGCTTTGTGTAAAAACAAGCAGCACCTTGAGGCCTGGGACTTGCGTAGCTACTGTTTCGTTAAAGTTAGCTTTTCGACTGCAGTTACTTTGGGTCTCCCACTAAGTGCACTGCCACGAAAGTGGGATGAATCACTGACTGTCACCACATGTGAGGGTAAAAGTCGTGAGGTTTCGCTCGCCACGGGGCCAAGCGCCTCTTGGTCTACGAGCTCCTGTCCGGCGGGGACGTCCATCGCAGGCTTCCGGCGCTTTAGGGGAGGTTAGATAGGGATTAGGGTTTAGGGGGGGTTCCTTTAAAGGGTAGGGTAAGGGTTCCTTTTAAGGGATCTATAGTGTTTAGGGTTCAGGGCCTAGGGGTTCTACAATGCATCACTTCTTCGTGGGTTCTCATCGTTCTTGCGTTGCTCATGTGTGCATCCTGCGGTCTCCTAAGGTGACCGAGGAGGGAGTGTCCGAAAATAGGGGACCCTAAGATGGTACCCTAAATAGTAGGATCCCTATTATAAGGACCCCTCAATAAGGTACCCCTAATTTTCGGAAACTCCCAGGAAGGCTCTGCCCTAGAGCTTCGCTGCCGGCATACACTCCAAGTCCGCGCTTAAAGAAAAAGGGCCTAGGGGTTTAAGGGGTTTAGGGTGTGTTTCCTTTCTTCAGGGGTGCCCGGCAGTCGCAATAGGCCTGGATGCAAAAGGTTTTAGGGTTGACTGTTTAGGGAATTGGGAATAGGGATTGGGGCTACTCATGAACCTTGGGTTTAGGAATTAGGTTGAGGATTTCGACACATAGGAGCTCTTGAAAGGCATTCAGGGTTGAGGGGCCAGGGCTGGAAGCGGTCGGAGCATGCCAGAAGTGCAGTGGTCAAGGAAGAGTGCGCAGGTTACAGCGGAGCTGCCACGAGGACATACCCTTCCCTTGGCGAGAACGGGTCGCGGGCTTACTCCGTGTTGCATTGTGGAGCCCATGCTGCAGCATGGAACAGCTCCTCCGGCAGAAGCTGGGAAGGCTGATCTCAGACAACTCGTTGACACTGCAGGTGGGTGTGGCATTAGACGCGGCCTGTGGCCTGTCGCACCTGCACTACGCATCTCCCAAGGTAGGCCACTCAGCAGCCTTGAAGAGGTATGCATGTGCAGCACATCGCATCGCGTCCCAAGCCATGGCTAAGGTGTTTCACCGCGACATAAAGAGTCCCAACATCTTGCTGGACCGGAACGGGACTGCCAAAATGGCAGACTTTGGCCGGGGACTGTTTGGCTGACAGGGCAACAGCACATCTGCAGGGCAAGCATCATGGACTAAGTGACGACAGGAGGTTCAACTCCCTTTGCATTTTATAGTGTCCTTTGGGAGACGCTCCTGCTCGCCGAGCTGTCGTGCGGTTCGAAGTGGAAGCTGCTCAGAGTAGATGGCAGACGCAGAGCTCCCCCGCGATGGAGCCGAGAGACAGAGAGCCTGCGTCGTCCCAGGACAAGCGGCCACTGGAGGAGGACTCAGACGACCCAGATCTCCAGGATCAATCTGAAGTGGAAGATTTGCTGGAGATAGCATCCGAGGCGCCCACAGATACCTCTTGGCCCGGGGAGGTGGATGAAGCCGAGCTAGATGGCGAAATCCTGATCGAGGAACCGAAGCCGAGGCCCAAGAAGAAGAAGAGCTTGGATGCGGCTGCCCTGGCCGCCCGCCGCGTCTGCAAGCGGCTGAGGCAGGAACGGAAGGCCGCACGCAAGGCCAAGCGCAAGGCCGAGGCCAAGGCCAAGAAGCGACGTGGCTTCGGCGCAGACTTGGAGGCTTTCTTGGAGAAGACCAGGGAGCGCCTCGAGACGAAGGCCGTGGAGGCCGAGGCTTTGGCAGCCGCGGCTCTCATGGCCGAGGCGGAGGTCGGCTCGAGGCCGAATCCGAAGGACCGCCTGGGCCTCGAGCCGCCGCGGTCCGGGGTGGACCTGCGCGGCTTCGTCGCGAAGACGCGGGAGCGGCTGGCGGCGCGGTCGGAGCTGGAGAGGGCCACGGAGGAGGCGCAGCGCGCGAAGGCCGCCGCCTTGGCGGCCAACGTGGACTTGGAGTCCTTCCGGAAAGAATGTCAGGCGCGCATCGCCCAGCGGCTCCTGGCGAAAATGCCTCAAATCCGGGGCTCGGAGAGAGACGCAGGGAACATCAACTGGGCCTGCATCACGCGTCGACGGATTGCCATCGTGGGTGCCGGCCCGGTGGGCCTCTGGGCAGCCATGTTGCTGGCGCAGAAGTACCGCTGGACCGATGGCACTGGCTGTGCCCGGCTCCGCCCGGATGCGCCGGAGGTGGTCCTCTTCGAGGCCCGGTCCATGGAGAACCACTGCACTCGGACGGACATCCGCATCGCGCTCTCCTCTTCGACGCGGGCCATGCTGGACCAGCAGACGAAATCGAGGAGCTTCACTTCCGGCATGCCCGTCGCAGAGATCGAAGACACCTTCCTCAGGCGCTGGAAGAAGGTGGCAGGCCAGGAGGCCAGGATCGGCTATGGCTCTGAGATCTCAGACCCTGCGGAGCTCTGCCAATCCGGGCAGTTTGACTGCATTCTCTGGGCCGCGGGACGGAGATCCCTCGACGACCCCTTGCGAAAGGATTTGGGTTGTGAGGTGAAGATTGGCGACAGTCAGCGTGTGGTCGTCTTCCAGGTCCCAGAGGGGGTTTAAAGCACAGACGCCCATGCTTTTTCTTGCAGCGAGCCCTTTTACTTTTTTATTTTTATGTTTTTTTTTTTGACCCTTTTGGCTTCAGCTCCCTTTCCCATCTTCAGCGGATTCAGCGGATTTAGGGACCGGCCGTTGCTTCTGCAGGTCCAGGACCTCCAGGGAGCAGACGCCTGGCAGCTCGGGAGCCTGGGTTCTGGTTAAGGAGTTTGATTCAAGTATTCAAGTTACAGTTACCATAATCGGGATCTATAGTAAACAATAGTAATAATAGGGATATATATATATATATATATATATATATAGAGTAAACAATAGGGATCCGTAGTGGATAGTAGGGTTTCCTTATGCTGGCACCTTAAATTAGATCCCTTAACAAGAACCCAGGAGCATGGACCTCTCCGGGGCCGCCCAGCAAGCGGGCCGCTTCCCCGGGCTCCGCGTGATGCTGCGGCCGGGCTTCGAGGGCGCCTGCGCCTGTTGGCTCTGGGTCTTCGGTTTCTGGGCTCTTCTTAATCAAGGGGTTTAGGGTTTATGGTTTAGGGTTTAGGGTTTGGGGTTTGGGGTTTGGGGTTCAGGGTTTAGGGTTTAGGGTTTAAGTAAGCTTAAAGTTACCATATTAGGGATCTATTAGGGTTCCCTCTGAGGGGTCGATAAGGGTTCGGTTTCTGGGCTCTCGTTACGGAATTTGTGTTTCTGTTGCCATACTAAAGAAACCGTATCAATATCATTTTCTGTCATCTGCTTTAGGAGTTTTATTCCGATTACCATAGTAGGGGTCTATGGGTAAATACTATGGTTTCCTTATTATGGTAACTTCAATTTAAATCCCTGAACCCTAAACCGCTACACCCTAAACCCCGAAACCCCTAAACCCTAAACCTAATTAACAAGAACTGAGGTTTGTCCAGCGAGGTCTTGGAGTCCTTCGTCCTGAAGGGTGCCTCTTCCACGCCGCGGGAGACGTTGGCAGAGGCTTTCGAGGACGGTGCTACTGTTCTTTCGGCCACATCAAACCTCTTTAGGGGTAATGTTACTATTAGTATTAATATTAGTTTTTAGTATTGGTATTAGTTGTTTACTATGTTTTGGGTATCAATATTCATATTAATATAACAACTCTCACTGGCCTAAGTCTGAGAACGCTATACGCATAGCGTTTAGGGAGTATCATGCTTACTTAAAGGATCATGGGACTTAGTAACTGCGGTTATAATTAGGGTAACTATACTTATAACTACTTATAACCCCAGTTAAGGTACTTATAACCTTACTTACTAAGTCCCATGATCCTGCAGGTAGACCCTAAACCCCAAACCCTATAGATCCCTTTAAGGAACCCCTATAGATCCCTTTAAGGAACTCCTATAGATCCCTGTAAGGAACCCTATAGATCCCTTTAAGGAACTTAAAGGGATCTATAGGAGTTCCTTAAAGGGATCTATAGGAGTTCCTTAAAGGGATCTATAGGAGTTCCTTAAAGGGATCTATAGGAGTTCCTTAAAGGGATCTACAGGAGTTCCTTAAAGGGATCTATAGGAGTTCCTTAAAGGGATCTATAGGAGTTCCTTAAAGGGATCTATAGGAGTTCCTTAAAGGGATCTATAGGAGTTCCTTAAAGGGATCTATAGGAGTTCCTTAAAGGGATCTATAGGAGTTCCTTAAAGGGATCTATAGGAGTTCCTTAAAGGGATCTATAGGAGTTTCTTAAAGGGATCTATAGGAGTTCCTTAAAGGGATCTATAGGAGTTCCTTAAAGGGATCTATAGGAGTTCCTTAAAGGGATCTATAGGAGGAACTCCTATAGATCCCTTTAAGGAACTCCTATAGATCCCTTTAAGGAACTCCTATAGATACCCTTTAAGGAACCCCTATAGATCCCTTTAAGGAACTCCTATAGATCCCTTTAAGGAACTCCTATAGATCCCTTTAAGGAACTCCTATAGATCCCTTTAAGGAACCCCTATAGATCCCTTTAAGGAACCCCTATAGATCCCTTTAAGGAACTCCTTTATATAGATCCCTTTAAGGAACTCCTATAGATCCCTTTAAGGAACTCCTATAGATCCCTTTAAGGAACCCCTATAGATCCCTTTAAGGAACCCCTATAGATCCCTTTAAGGAACTCCTTAGATCCCTTTAAGGAACCCCTATAGATCCCTTTAAGGAACTCCTATAGATCCCTTTAAGGAACTCCTATAGATCCCTTTAAGGAACCCCTATAGATCCCTTTAAGGAACTCCTGTAGATCCCTTTAAGGAACCCCTATAGATCCCTTTAAGGAACCCCTATAGATCCCTTTAAGGAACTCCTATAGATCCCTTTAAGGAACCCCTATAGATCCCTTTAAGGAACTCCCTATAGATCCCTTTAAGGAACCCCTATAGATCCCTTTAAGGAACTCCTATAGATCCCTTTAAGGAACTCCTATAGATCCCTTTAAGGAACCCCTATAGATCCCTTTAAGGAACTCCTATAGATCCCTTTAAGGAACTCCTATAGATCCCTTTAAGGAACTCCTATAGATCCCTTTAAGGAACTCCTATAGATCCCTTTAAGGAACCCCTATAGATCCCTTTAAGGAACCCCTGTAGATCCCTTTAAGTCCCCCTTTAAGGAACTCCTGTAGTCCCTTTAAGGAACTCCTATAGATCCCTTTAAGGAATCCCTCCCCTATAGATCCCTTTAATCCCCCTTTAAGGAACCCCTATAGATCCCTTTAAGGAACCCTCCCTTTATCCCTTTAAGGAACCCTTTAAGGAACTATAGATCCCTTTAAGGAACTCCTGTAGATCCCTTTAAGGAACCCCTATAGATCCCTTTAAGGAACTCCTGTAGATCCCTTTAGATCCCTTTAAGGAACTCCTGTAGATCCCTTTAAGGAACTCCTGTAGATCCCATTAAGGAACTCCTATAGATCCCTTTAAGGAACTCCTGTAGATCCCTTTAAGGAACTCCTATAGATCCCTTTAAGGAACTCCTGTAGATCCCTTTAAGGAACCCCTATAGATCCCTTTAAGGAACTCCTGTAGATCCCTTTAAGGAACCCCTATAGATCCCTTTAAGGAACCCCTATAGATCCCTTTAAGGAACTCCTGTAGATCCCATTAAGGAACTCCTATAGATCCCTTTAAGGAACTCCTGTAGATCCCTTTAAGGAACTCCTATAGATCCCTTTAAGGAACTCCTGTAGATCCCTTTAAGGAACCCCTATAGATCCCTTTAAGGAACCCCTATAGATCCCTTTAAGGAACCCCTATAGATCCCTTTAAGGAACCCCTATAGATCCCTTTAAGGAACTCCTGTAGATCCCATTAAGGAACTCCTGTAGATCCCTTTAAGGAACTCCTGTAGATCCCTTTAAGGAACTCCTGTAGATCCCTTTAAGGAACTCCTATAGATCCCTTTAAGGAACTCCTGTAGATCCCTTTAAGGAACTCCTATAGATCCCTTTAAGGAACTCCTGTAGATCCCTTTAAGGAACCCCTATAGATCCCTTTAAGGAACTCCTATAGATCCCTTTAAGGAACCCCTATAGATCCCTTTAAGGAACTCCTGTAGATCCCTTTAAGGAACCCCTATAGATCCCTTTAAGGAACTCCTGTAGATCCCATTAAGGAACTCCTGTAGATCCCATTAAGGAACTCCTATAGATCCCTTTAAGGAACCCCTGTAGATCCCTTTAAGGAACTCCTGTAGATCCCTTTAAGGAACTCCTATAGATCCCTTTAAGGAACTCCTGTAGATCCCTTTAAGGAACTCCTATAGATCCCTTTAAGGAACTCCTATAGATCCCTTTAAGGAACCCCTATAGATCCCTTCAAGGAACTCCTGTAGATCCCTTTAAGGAATTCCTATAGATCCCTTTAAGGAACTCCTATAGATCCCTTTAAGGAACCCCTATAGATCCCTTTAAGGAACTCCTGTAGATCCCTTTAAGGAACCCTAAAGCCGCTATTTTGGCTCAAGCCATTTTGGCTCAAGGCTCGGCCCGGTGCTTTCTTCCTTCTTCTGTTTCCTCTCAGGGATGATCTCCGAAAACGGGGAGTCAGACAAGGACATGAACAGTGATGTTGTCTCCCAGAAGACTGCTGATGATGATGATGAGAGCCCCTTAAGCCGTGCTGAACTGCCCTCCGCTGCAGCTATGATTCGTGAATCTGACGAAGAGGCCAAACGGAGTGCGTTGAGGGATGCCGCTGATGCGGCTGCTGCTCTGCAAGCTGCCCTGCAACCCTCGGGATTGCCTGCTTCTGGGGCTGGCCCTAACCCCTATAGTGTTGCGGCCGCACAGACCCCAGCCCCTATGGGACCTCCTCAGACGACTCCCAGAAGGGGGCATGCACCTAAAGCTAAGGAGAAGAAGCCTGCGACGAGTCCCGAAAAACGCCAGAAGGTAACTAACCTTGCCCCCCAGCCGGGTAGTCACCCCTCGCAGCCCAGTAGTTTCCCTCCTCAGCCCACTGGACCACCCCCTCACCCTTCGTTACCACCTGCAGGACTGCAGTCACCACCCTTGTTCGGAGGAGGAACCGCCAATCCGACTGGCGCGCCACAGCCTGCCCCTATGCCGGGCACGCCGCCCGGACTGCCTCAGGGTCACCAACCCCCGGCAGCAGGGGGACCGCAGTATTTTCACCTTGATACGGCGCCGGGTTGGGTTCAGGAGTTGCGGGATCTTTTCAGAGGGGGTCAATCGGAAATGATTTCAGAGATTAGGGCCCAGGGACAGAACGTGGCTAAGGTTACGGAACAAGTGAACACCTTGGCGCAGCAACAAGGGTCCTTCCAGGCTCGTTTAGACGAAATGGAGCGAGACATGAGGGACCTCCGCGCAGCTAGGTCAGTCTCACCCGCCCCCAGTAGAGTAGGCCCTCAGGACGCTAGCCCCCGTAGCACGACACCATCGAACTCCGGACGAACACAAGTAGTCGACGATCTCCAGTTAGTCCTTGGTGGATGGAGTGAAGCTAGACGTGGGGATATCGAGGAAGAAATCCGTCACATTTTTCAGGAGATCCAAGCGACGCCACTCTGTCGGGACATCCACGTCCCTTTCGTCAGGAGCAATTTTGCCAGGGTCGAGCTCATGTTCTCCGACTGCCACATCTCTGCCAAACGTAAGGTGCAGACCTTGGTTTTAGAGGGGATCAAGAAGTTCTTCCAGAAAGAACCCTTCAGTAAGATTGCCAATCAGACCGCTGCACGACTGTGGGTAGCACGAAACAGGTCCAAGGAAGATCGGGCTAAGGTCAGAGCCATAGTCGGGGTCAAAGAGTATGCTCTCAAGTCACTCCCCATCCAATTTATTGACATTGAATGGCGGGGCAAATTATGGATTAGAGGCGAACAGGTTCTTTTCCACGCGGGGCTTCGCCGCCCGACGGATGATGCTGTAATGCTAAACGACGCCAGAGGAGATGAATCGGGCTGGTGGGTCGATGTCAGGGTGCTAGCACGCGTCCTCTCCAAAACTCAGGACCAGGTCATTCAGGAACTCACCGAATGACTCCAAGCACCTCCGCAGTCTGCCCGCAGTCGACAGGCGCCACTTGCTGACTTCAGAGTAATGACATGGAACCTCCATGGGAAGCACCTTACCGCGGTTAAGTCTCTTTTCGACAACACCGAGGACCCATGGGACATGATCAGTTTGCAGGAATTAGGAGGGTTCTCGCATCTCCCCAAAAGAGAAACCAGAACTGAGACTTTGCACATTTCAGGACAGGCTTATCTTGCGGTGGTTTACCAGACTCCACTCAGTCATCACGCGGTGGCGGTTCTCCTTCGGGAGCAGCTCAGTCTTAACGTTCAAGGCAAGCATCTATTTGGCACAGGCATGGTTGTTGAATGTCGGGCAGAAGGCCGCACCCTCTGGTTCGGGACAGGCCACTTGCCACACCAGCAACGACCTGATGCAGAAGAAGCATGGCTGCTCTCCTTATCCAAACTCGATGAGGTTTTGTCTCAGGCGAGGTTTTGTG